TGGCAGGGAGGGAGAAGAAAACAAGAATACCTAAAGTTTTCCTCGCTGTCTGTCCGAAGAAGTTTGTCAGCACTCTTGCGCCTTCATTCTTTCCTAGTTTTTAATCAAACTTCACATTATTGTAAAGAATTTAAATATCTTGGACAATTTCAAGGTAATCGGGGCAAGACAAGGTCACTATTACTATTTTAGAAAATCTTTGTCAGCACTCTAGTGCCTCATTCTTTCATGGATTTTGGTCAAAATTCACATTATTGTAAAAAATTTCAATATATTGGACAAGTTCAAGTTTCAAGGTCCTCGGATCTAGGTTGAGGTCACTGTTGCATCTTAATAGATTGCGGGGGCCGGTAGGGGACATGTATTGCTTCAGCAATACTCAGTATGCTTGTTATTCTACCTTTTTTTATCCACGCTTAATCTCAGGAACTGCTAATGGGATTCTTTTCATACTCAGTGAAAGGGATTATAACGGCACAGCGCTTGTTTTCGACTGAAAAATAATTGACTTTTAATTCAAAATGGCGGCCAAATGCAGGCTTCTGATTGGTCAAATTTTTAATATTGTCTGATTTTCATGAAATTGGGTATGTAGGTCTATCATGGAACACCGGTCACTTTCGGGACCTCACTTTCACATTTCGGCAAAATGGCTGTCATTCCCTGGCTTCTGATTGGTTGAAATTACATTATCCTCTAATTTTAATAAGAATTGATATGTAGGTGTAGTAATTAGGCTCTACGAACACAACTGCAATGTTCTTTTTGTGAAAAAATCAAAACGGCTGCGTACTAAGCAGCTGGGGGGTGACTTCCGCTATTGCTCGCAATTGCAATTCTAGTTAAGTCACCCGGAACGAAGTCGGGTAACTTGTTGTCATTGTTCTGTTTCTTACTTATTCTTATTAAGTCACCTTGAACGAAGACAGGTGACTTGTTGTTATTGTTCCGTTTCTTACTTATTATTATTATTATTATTTTTCCGATGTAAAAAGTTTCCGCTCTTAAGCTCAGGAACTGCCTATGGGATTCGCATACGTATTCAGTACGATGTCTAGTTGTGCATCTGATTCTTATTTTTCCGTGTAATCCAATCCAAAATGGCTGCCGCTGCTCTGATTGGCCGAAATCATATCCAGTAATAACCTTTGTTTCAATTTACGGAATAGAATGAAACTCAGTAAAAGGGATGATAACTTGACAGCGCTCGATTTCGATGAAAAATATTTCACTTTGGATTCAAATTGGGGGACAAATGCAGGCTTCTGATTGGTCGAAATTAAAATATCATCTAATTTTGATGAAATTTGGTGAAGTATTGCACAACAAACATAACTGCAGTGTTCGTGTTGTGAAAAAAAAAAATGGCTGTCATTTCCTGGCCTCTGATTGATCAAAATTTGAATATTGTCTAATTTTCATGAAATTTGGTATGTAGGTATATCATGGGACACTGGTCACTTTTGTTACCTCAGTTCTACATTTCGACAAAATTGCTGCCATTTGTTGGCCTCTGATTGGTTGTGATTTAAATATTGTCCAATTTTGATGAAATTTGGTATGTTGGTGTATTATGGCACTACGAACACAACTGCGGTGGGGTTTTTTGTGAAAAAACATAATGGCTGCGTACTTAGCAGGGGAAGGGTGACTTCCGACATTGCTCGCAATTGCAATTCTAGTTCTTCTTTCTTCTTCTTCTTCCGCTTTCCGCCATAAAGGTTTCCAACACTTTTCTCAGATAGCCTCTAGATGTGCCGCCACAGCCTCTGATTGGCTAAAACATTTTTAGCCATAACTTTTGTCATAATTGGCGCATCAAAATAAAATTTTAAGGAAAGTATCTGTATAGGACATACAAATTTGATATGTAGGTGTATTTTGTCACTGCAAACTCAGCCACATTATCCATTTTCTGATTTGACATAATGGTCACCTTTTCTGGCTTCTGATTGGTCGATATTCAGTTATTGTTAGATTTCAATAAAATTTGGTAAGTACATGTATTTTGGCACTGCGATCTCAGTCGCATCATCCGTCGAAATTCACATATATTTTGATTTTGATCAAATTTGGTATGACTTCCGTTCACCTATTTACATTTGTTTTTCTGAATGCGCAGTTAGTTTGATTACATCTGTAATGGCCAGCTCCCATTACAATTAGCACTTTATAAATAAGTTTGGCAACACATCAACATGAAGGTATAAAAGGCACAAGTATATAATTCCGAACTTTCGGCTCAAACTTACAATGCTTGACACATTGAAATCTTTTTATTTTATATGTTCAGTATAAAAAGATGCAAAGCTTCCAAATGGCAAATTACAATACACAAAAACTCTTCATTGTTGAATCAATATATTAGATAGGACAGCTGTTTTCTTTTTAGCCGGTAACCTTACTCAAATAAACCTAAAAATAATCCAACAGCTTGTTCTACTGTAATAGAAAAGAAAGAAGTGGAAAGATGAGGTGCCCCAGCTGGGATCGAACCCACAACCCCAGGTTCCGGAGGCCAACGCTCTACCACTGACCTAAAGGAACATGTCCTGTCAGCTGACTGACAGAACCACTATTTGTACATAGTACATATACTACCCAGATCTTTCACACTACTTTTGCATTACATGTAGTTCATGTTACCTTTGTAACAAAATGATTTCTTTTTCAATTGGCAACATCAATTACATCAGTTTTTACATACCATGGGCTTCTTATTCATTAACTCTGCAGTGTAAACTAAATGTCACAGATATTGTTGTTTGCCAGTCTTTTTTTTTTTAATTTCAGACTTACTGCTACAGATATCGATGTGCAGCCAGAAGTCAGAATACACCTGACAGCTCTGCAGTCAACCTTGGCTTTCGGTGTGCCAGTAATAAACTGCCAAAATATCTACATATGGAAGATCCCTAAATTTATATGAATATGTGTTTTGCATGAATTTTACACTACCTTTATGTATAAAATAATGCTGAATAAAATCTTATTCAATGTGAAAAACTTCCACTGTGCTACTAGTTATATAGTTTCCCCTTTTCAACAGCTGGTCATTGTATAAGTTGAGTGACAATTGGATTAGTAGTGGTGAACAGGGCCAGCACTCCAAAATATCAAAACGTGGATTGCATGTAAACATGTAGATTGGCCACCATCTCTAGAATATTCAAGAATTAATAAAAAAAAAACTTAAACTCTAAAAAATTGATCACTTGGATGTCTGATTCTAGTTCTAAACTAGGTGGAGATAAGCTAGTAGTAAAATGCAGCCAAGAAATTCTCCAGTCTAGTAAACATGCAGTTAAAAATAAATAGGAAGCATTGAATAATGTAATGCTTGATGAAATTATTGATCAACTTCTATGAAACACACGGGGGGAAAAAAGAAGAAAAAACAAAGAATCCTGTTATTTAGAAACTCTTCAATCTTGCTGCCTTATCTTATAGGTATTTTGAGTGATAAACAAAATCATCTTCCAGTTTGATTATGCTTGCATTTACATATACACAAATAACCTTGAACCCCATGTGTTGGGTACAGTGTATGTCTGTACCAGTCATCTGAGGGTTTTTTAAGCATCTCATTCAGACCACCTCTGACTCTGCTTATGTGTGTGTGGATGATAAGTGGACCATGACAAGTGTGTGAGTGAATGCATATTTATGTCCCCCAAACGAAGTGGGGGGACATTTTGTGTTAACCCTGTTTCTTATCATTAAGTCAGCCCGGGGAAACTTATTGCTATTGTTCCATTTCTTTCTTATTATTATTATTACAAGCTAACTGGTAATAAGATTTATATATATATTTTCAATGCTGCTGTGACTATTCTCCATAATTATGCTTACTGAAGATTTAAAAGAAACTGTGGTTAGGTATACATGTAGCAAACACTAGTGAAAGCAAGTGGTGTTTTTTTATAAAAGCACTAGATAAAGTCTTGAGTGTAATCAGCCCAACAGAACTCAAAATATAAGTAGTGCATTTTATAAACTGATTTTCTATTCATATAGTAACAGTGATAGAGACCTAACCCCCCGGGCCTGGAAAGTTATCCCAAGCAGGCACTTTCTTGGAGGAATCACTGTATAAAGTCAAGAGTGTAATCAGCCCAAGAGAAATCAAGATATTGTGCATTAGTGCATTAAACAGATTTTCTATTTATAGTGACTCATTGACCTTTGACCACTGGACCGGAAAAGTTATCCCAAGCAGGCACTTTCTTCCATGAAGGACTCGGTAAAATCTGAGTGTAATCAGTCCAACAGAAATCGAAATACAGTGCACAAACTGATGTTCTATTTATTGTAAGTGACCTTGACCTTTGATATCAAAGGCTGAAAAGCTATCCAAAAGCTTCAACAAACATTTTATTACACTGGATAAAGTCCATGTATGCACACACACAAGGTTCTACACTTAAAGTTGATAAGTTGACTTTAATATTCATGTTTTTTCTGTATGTTATTACCATCTCCATAACATATTGGATGAAGTTGCTAAGTGTTTAAATTGAATCAGTTGATGATTTTCAATATATAGCAACAGTGACCTTGGCCTTGACCTTGGAACCCTGAAACACAACAATGTCCGAAGTATACTCAGACTTGACCTTTGCATAAAGTTTGACCAAAATCCATGAACGAATGAAGTTGCTAAGCGTTTAGATTGAATCAGTTGTTGATTTTCTATACATAGCAACAGTGACCTTGGCCTGACCTTGGAACCCTGAAACACAAGGGTATACCCATATTTGACCTATGTATAAAGTTTGACCAAAATCCGTGAAAGAATGGAGTTGCTAAGTGTTTAAATTGAATCAGTTGATGATTTTCTATATGTAGCAAGTGTGACCTTGACCTTGACCTTGGATCCCTGAAATACAACAATTTATGAAGTATACTCATACTTGACCTTTGTATAAAGTTTGACAAAAAAACTGTCAAAGAATGAAGTTGTTAAGTGTTTACATTGAATCGAGACGGGACGCGACGGGACGGGATGATTTTCTATATATAGCAAATGTGACCTTGGCCTTGACCTTGGATCCCTGAAATACAAAGATGTTCGCAGTATACCCATACTTGACCTTTGTATAAAGTTTGACCAAAATCTGTCAATGAATGAAGTTGCTAAGTGTTTACATTGAATCGGGACATGACGCAACATGACGCGACAGGACGTCGCACCAGGGCAAAATCTCACTTGTCCTTGGCAGGTGAGCTAAAAACAGATAGAAGGACAGACAGACGTAAAATCTGATTGCTAAAGATGTGCAGGGGTTGTTATAGAATTGGAGAATCCCCCTTTGGGACCCCACTCCTCCCCCTAGGGAGCCAGAGTATTATGAGAGAGACCCTCTGTTAAACGGCATTCAGTCTTCTTAACCAAGTAATGCTCCAGACCATTGGTTTGAAAACATCATCAAGCCATACAGAAGGACTTCAAAGGATGTACTGTTTCAGGTGATTTATGTCCCCGCAACAGCCAGGGTCATATGAGGATGGGTGTCACCTATAGAAGAAAACTGCAATTCGAAGGAAGTGCATGTGTTGACGGAAAAAATACAGTTACTTATAAGAATTTCATATGTGCAAAGGGCTATAACTCCAGAAAAAATAAAACATGGACACTGGATTCTAACTCAAACTGTAATCCATTATACATGTACTAAGTTGCAAATAATATGGAAAACAGTTAATTATGAGAATTTCCTATGTGCAAAAGGGCCATAACTCAAGTCAAAAATTGAATTTTAATACATGGTTCAAACTCTGTAATCTTTTATGATAAAGCCACAACCTTTATACACTTCGTGCCACGTGAGCTAAAAATCTTCCATTTATAAATATTTCGTTCACTTTGCCCAAAGATTCTCTAGAACAAGTTTGGTTAGGTTAAAATCCCTTCAACGGTACAGAAGGAGAAGGATCTTTAATGTTTTCCTCTATTTCCCCTAATGGGCCCCACTCATCTGCCCCAAAGAAGGGGGCCAACACACCTCAGTTTATACAAAATTGATTCTTTTGTCCCTAATCATGCTTCAGACTGCATTTGGTTTAAATCCCTTCACTTGTTTAGTAGGAGAAAAAATATCCTCTATTTCCCCTATTGGGGCCAGCCCCTCCGCCACCAGAGGGGCCACACCCTCCTTTATACCAGCTTGAGTCTCCTTTGTCCAAAGATACTCTTGAACACATTTGGTCAAAATCCTTCTATTGATTGAGAAGAAGATTTTTAAAGATTTACCTATTTTCCCCCTATTTGGCCCCGTCCCTCTGCTCCTATGGGGACCATACCCTCCGTTATACAAAACTGAGAACCCTTTGGCTAATGATGCTCCAGACCAAATTTGGTCAAAATCCTCTGAGCCGTTCAGGACAAGTAGCGTTTTAAAGGAAAAAGTTGACGGACGACGGACGCCGGACACCGGACGACGGACGACTGACGCTGCGGCATGGGATAAGCTCACTTGGCCCTTCGGTCCAGGTGAGCTAAAAACAGGTGAGAAAACTGTACCTGGTAATCCAATTCAATCCAGATTATTGCATTGAATAGTCACATAATCACGTGGTTTTCACACCGGTACATCTTACCTGTACTACTCGGTAGTGAAGCGGACGCAAAACCTATCAATCAAGCACTGGACACCAGTGTGTTTAGTTTTATGTACCTGTACACAAATTTCACAACTAAGCCGGCTAAAGGAGTGGATCGAGATGCTTTTCATTATTGAACAAAGATGTTAAATTATAACTTGTGTATATTACATGTATATGGAGAGAGAAAAGTTTAAACTCCATAATTCAATTATATTTTCGAGATAAATATAATCACGGACTTGATCCGAGTGGATAGCTAAAGGTATCTTGTGTCTTGCTTACCAAAGCTACACTAACAGAGCCAGTATCCATCTCTAAGAGTTGAGCCTTTCCCTCTATGCTTGAGTCAAACCCGCATTGTTTACACGGTAGTCTGCTCAGTGCATCTGCGTCGGTATGCTTGGCTCCTGGTCTATGTTCTATTTGAATGTCATATGTGCCACCTGGCCCTCTGGGTTCTTAAAATTGAGTAACCAACGCGCGCAGTGACCGATGGTCAGTTCTTACTTTGAACTTCTTTCCGTAGAGATAATGGCGATAATATTTAACGAAATTCACTATTGCCAAAAGCTCCTTCCTTGTAACACAATATTGGCGTTCGGGTTTTGTTAGGGTACGGCTTGCGTAAGCTATCACTTTTTCTTGTCCATCGAAGTCCTGCGATAGTACTGCTCCAATAGCCTCATTACTCGCATCAGTGTCCAAAATGAACGGTTTGCTGAAGTCGGGATGTGCGAGAATGGGGGCACTGCTTAATTTCTGTTTGATAGTCTCAAATGCATTCTGACAGTCCTTGTTCCATATAAAAAGTCTTCCCTTCTCCGTAAGTCTGTGAAGGCACTTCGCGATAGCAGAAAAAGCTGTGTATATACCTTCGGTAATATCCGCAGAGACCTAAGAAAGATCTTAGTTCTGACACATTGACAGGAATAGGCCACTATTGTATCACATTTACCTTTTCGCTATCAGTGGCAATGCCGTCACCTGACACAACATGACCAAGAAAGTGCACGCGCTTTGAAAACAGCGTACATTTCTTGGGTTTAAGCTTCAATCCAGCCTTTCTTAACCTGTCGAAGACCGATTTAAGGTTGTCAACCATGTCCTGGAATGTTTTCCCCAACACTATTACGTCATCCAAGTAGACCAGACAGATTTGCCATTGCACACCAGCTAATAATAATAATAAATAATATACAGCATTTATATTGCGCCCTATATAATTTCTAAAATCACTCTAAGGCGCTTTACAACATATGGATAATAGTAATGGTTATAATTGTGAAAACAAACAACAAAGGCTTGCAATCACTTTCATACATTTAACAAGCAATGTGCACATAATTGAACAAATAAAAGGGTGGTATTTTCATGACGTCTTTGCAAAGATTCTAAAATGCAGAC